CAAATCGTAAGCTGCATGTCGATAGACGACGAAAGTGTAATGCACGTAGAGGAATCAGAGACAAATCGGAAATGATGAGGAGAATCATAAGTGTAAGCTGCATGTCGATAGACGACGAAAGTGTAATGTGCACGTAGAGGAATCAGAGACAAGACGGAAATGATGAGAGAATCATAAGTGTAAGCTGCATGTCGATAGACGATGAAAGTGTAATGACCACGTAGAGGAATCAGAGACAAGACGGAATTGACGAGCAGAAAATAAAGTGAAAGCTGCATGTCGATAGACGACGAAAGTGTAATGTGCACGTACAGGAATCAGAGACAAGACGGAAATGATTGAGAGAATCATAATGATAATCTGTATGTCGATAGACGACGAACGTGTAATGTGCACGTAGAGGAATCAGAGGAAGCCGGAAATGATGAGCAGAGTCATAAGTGTAAGCTGTCCATAGACGACGACGTAGAAGAATCAGAGACAAGAGGAAAAATGATGGGGGAGAATCATAAGTGAAAAGAATCGATAGACGACGAAAGTGTAATGCACGTAGAGGAATCAGAGACAAGACGGAAATGATTGAGGAGAATCATAATGATAATCTGCATGTCGATAGACGACGAAATGTGCACGTAGAGGAATCAGAGGGAAGACGGAAATGATGAGGAGAATCATAAGTGTAAGCTGCATGTCGATAGACGACGAAAGTGTAATGACGTAGAAGAATCAGAGACAGGACGGAAATGATGAGGAGAATCATAAGTGTAAATGTCGATAGACGACGAAAGTGTAATGTGCACGTAGAGGAATCAGAGAAAGGTCGGAAATTATGAGGGAGAATCTAAGCATGTCGATAGACGACGAAAATGTGCACGTAGAGGAATGAGAGACAAGACGTTAATGATGAGGGTAAGCTGAATGTCGATAGACGACGAAAGTGTAATGAGCACGTAGAGGAATCAGAGACAAGACGGAAATGATGAGGAGAATCATAAGTGTAAGCTGCATGTCGATAGACGACGAAAATGTAATGAGCACGTAGAGGAATCAGAGACAAGACGGAAATGATGAGGAGAATCTAAGCTGCATGTCGATAGACGACGAAAAAAACGTAGAGGAATCAGAGACAAAAATGAGGAGAATCATAAGAAGCTGCATGTCGATAGACGACGAAAATGCAATGTGCACGTAGAGGAATCAGAGACAAAGGAAATGATGAGGAGAATCATAAGTAAGCATGTCGATAGACGACGAAAGTGTAATGTGCACGTAGAGGAATCAGAGACAAGACGGAAATGATGAGGAGAATCATAAATGTAAGCTGCATGTCGATAGACGACGAAAGTGTAATGTGCACGTAGAGGAATCAGAGACAAGACGGAAATGATGAGGAGAATCATAAATGTAAGCTGCATGTCGATAGACGACGAAAGTGTAAACGTAGAGGAATCAGAGACAAGACGGAAATGATGAGGAGAATCATAAGTCGTAAGCTGCATGTCGATAGACGACGAAAAATGTAATGTGCACGTAGAGGAATCAGAGACAAGACGGAAATGATGAGGAGAATCATAAGTGTAAGCTGCATGTCGATAGACGACGAAAATATAATGTGACGTAGAGGAATCAGAGACAAATCGGAAATGATGAGGAGAATCATAAGTGTAAGCTGCATGTCGATAGACGAAAAATGCAATGTAGAGGAATCAGAGACAAGACGGAAATGATGAGGAGAATCATAATAAGCTGCATGTCGATAGACGACGAAAGTGTAAATCGTAGAGAAATCAGACAAGACGGAAATGATGAGGAGAATCATAAATGTAAGCTGCATGTCGATAGACGACGAAAGTGTAAAGTGCACGTAGAGAAATCAGAGACAAGACGGAAATGATGAGGAGAATCATAAGTGTAAGCTGCATGTCGATAGACGACGAAAGTGTAATGTGCACGTAGAGGAATCAGAGACAAATCGATAAATGATGAGGAGAATCATAAGTGTAAGCTGCATGTCGACAGACGACGAAAGCGTAATGTACGTAGAGGAATCAGAGACAAATCGTAAAATATGAGGAGAATCATAAGTGTAAGCTGCATGTCGATAGACGACGAAAGTGTAATGTGCACGTAGAGGAATCAGAGAGAAAATCGATAAATGATGAGGAGAATCATAAGGTAAGTGTAAGCTGCATGTCGATAGACGACGAAAGTGTAATGTGCACGTAGGGAATCAGACAAGACATCGGGAAAATGATGAGGAGAATCACAAGTGTAAGCTGCATGTCGATAGACGACGAAAGTGTAATGTGCACGTAAAGGAAGAAGAGACAAGACGGAAATGATGAGAGAATCATAACGATAATCTAATGTGCACGTATGTCGATAAGACGACGAACGTAAATGATAATCTGTACGTAAAGGAATCAGAGGGAAGACGGAGAATGATGAGGAGAATGATAAGTGTAAGCTGCATGTCGATAGACGACGAAAGTGTAATGTGCACGTAGAAGAATCAGAGACAGGAGGAAATGATGAGGAGAATCATGAAAGGTAAAATGTCGATAGACGACGAAAGTGTAAATGTACGTAAAGGAATAAGAGACAAATCGGAAAATGATTGAGAATATAATGATAATCTGTATGTCGATAGACGACGAACGTGTAATGTGCACGTAGAGGAATCAGAGGGAAGACGGAAATGATGAGGAGAATCATAAGTGTAAGCTGCATGTCGATAGACGACGAAAGTGTAATGTGCACGTAGAGGAATCAGAGACAAGACGGAAATGATTGAGAGAATCATAATGATAATCTGTATGTCGATAGACGACGAACGTGTAATGTGCAAAGAGGAATCAGAGGGAAGACGGAAATGATGAGGAGAATCATAAGTGTAAGCTGCATGTCGATAGACGAAAGTGTAAAACGTAAAGGAATAAGAGACAAGACGGAAAAATTGAGAGAATCATAATGATAATCTGTATGCCGATAGACGACGAACGTGTAATGTGCACGTAGAGGAATCAGAGGGAAGACGGAAATGATGAGGAGAATCATAAGCAAAGCTGCATGTCGATAGACGACGAAAGTGTAATGCACGTAGAAGATTCAGAGACAGGAAGGAAATGATGAGGAGAATCATAAGTGTAAGCTGCATGTCGATAGACGACGAAAGTGTAATGTGCACGTAAAGGAATAAGAGACAAGACGGAAATGATGAGGAGAATCATAAGTGTAAGCTGCATGTCGATAGACGACGAAAGTGTAATGTGCACGTAGAGGAATCAGAGAGAGAAGACGGAATGATGAGGAGAACCATAATGATAATCTGTATGTCAACAGACGAAAAGTGGAAAGTGATTAAAGGAATCAGAGACAAATCGGAAATGATGAGGAGAATCATGTAAGCTGCATGTCGATAGACGACGAAAGTGTAATGTGTACGTAGAGGAATCAGAGACAAACGGAAATGATGAGGAGAATCATAAGTGTAAATGTCGACAGACGACGAAAGTGTAATGAGCACGTAGAGGAATCAGAGACAAGACGGAAATGATGAGTAGGAGTGTAATGATGTCGATAGACGAGTAATGACCACGTAGAGGAATCAGAGACAAGACGGAATTGACGAGCAGAATCATAAGTGAAAGCTGCATGTCGATAGACGACGAAAGTGTAATGTGCACGTACAGGAATCAGAGACAAGACGGAAATGATTGAGAGAATCATAATGATAATCTAGACGACGAACGTGTAATGTGCACGTAGAGGAATCAGAGGGAAGCCGGAAATGATGAGCAGAATCATAAGTGTAAGCTGCATGTCCATAGACGACGAATGTGTAATGTGCACGTAGAAGAATCAGAGACAGGAGGGAAATGATGAGGAGAATCATAAGTGTAAGCTGCATGTCGATAGACGACGAAAGTGTAATGTGCACGTAGAAGAATCAGAGACAAGACGGAAATGATTGAGAGAATCATAATGATAATCTGTATGTCGATAGACGACGAACGTGTAATGTGCAGGTAGAGGAATCAGAGGGAAGACGGAAATGATGAGGAGAATCATAAGTGTAAGCTGCATGTCCATAGACGACGAAAGTGTAATGTGCACGTAGAAGAATCACAGACATGAGGGAAATGATGAGGAGAATCACAAGTGTAAGCTGTATGTCTATAGACGACGAAATGTAATGTGCAGGTAAAGGAATAAGAGACAAGACGGAAATCATTGAGAGAATCATAATGATAATCTGTATGTCGATAAACGACGAACGTGTAATGTGCACGTAGAGGAATCAGAGGAAGACGGAAAATGATGAGGAGAATCATAAGTAAGCTGCATGTCGATAGACGACGAAAGTGTAATGTGCACGTAGAGGAATAAGAGACAAGACGGAAATGATTGAGAGAATCATAATGATAATCTGTATGTCGATAGACGACGAACGTGTAATGCACGTAGAGGAATCAGAGGGAAGACGGAAATGATGAGGAGTAATGTAAGCTGCATGTCGATAGACGACGAAAGTGTAATGTGCACGTAGAAGAATCAGAGGACAGGAGGGAAATGATGAGGAGAATCATAAGTGTAAGCTGCATGTCGATAGACGACGAAAGTTTAATGTGCACGTAAAGGAACAGACAAATCGGAAATGATTGAGAGAATCATAATGATAATCTGTATGTCGGGACGACGAACGTGTAATGCACGTAGAGGAATCAGAGGGAAGACGGAAATGATGAGGAGGTAAGCTGCATGTCGATAGACGACGAAAGTGTAATCATAGAGACAAGAGGAATCAGAGACAAGACGGAAATGATACGAAGAGGAGAATCATGCATGTCGATAGACGACGAAAGTGTAATGTGCACGTAGAGGAATCAGAGGAAGACGGAAATGATGAGGAGAATCATAAGTGTAAGCTGCATGTCGATAGACGACGAAAGTGTAATGAGTAAAAGGAATAAGAGACAAGACGGAAATGATTAAGAGAATCATAATGATAATCTGTATGTCGATAGACGACGAACGTGTAATGTGCACGTAGAGGCAGGGAAGACGGAAATGATGAGGAGTAAGTAAGCTGCATGTCGATAGACAACGAAAGTGTAATGTGCACGTAGAAGATTCAGAGACAGAAGGAAATGATGAGGAGAATCATAATGTAAGCTGCATGTCGATGTAATGTGCACGTAAAGGAATAAGAGACGACGGAAATGATGAGGAGAATCATAAGTGTAAGCTGCAGGTCGATAGACGACGAAAGTGTAATGTGCACGTAGAGGAATCAGAGAGAAGACGAAATGATGAGAGAACCATAATGATAATCTGTATGTCAACAGACGACGAAAGTGTAAAGTGCACTTAAAGAGAATCAGAGACAAATCGGAAATGATGAGGAGAAATAAGTGTAAGCTGCATGTCGATAGACGACGAAAGTGTAATGTGCACGTAGAGGAACAGAGACAAATCGGAAATGATGAGGAGAAATGTAAGCTGCATGTCGACAGACGACGAAAGTGTAATGAGCACGTAGAGGAATCAGAGACAAGACGGAAATGATGAGTAGAATCATAAGTGTAAGCTGCATGTCGATAGACGATGAAAAGTGTAATGAACACGTAGAGGAATCAGAGACAAGACGGAATTGACGAGCAGAATCATAAGTGAAAGCGCATGTCGATAGACGACGAAAGTGTAATGCACGTACAGGAATCAGAGACAAGACGGAAATGATTGAGAGAATCATAATGATAATCTGTATGTCGATAGACGACGAACGTAATGTGCACGTAGAGGAAATCAGAGGGAAGCCGGAAATGATGAGCAGAGTCATAAGTGTAAGCTGCATGTCCATAGACGACGAAAAGTGTAATGTGCACGAAGAAGAAGAATCAGAGACAGGAGGAAATGATGAGGAGAATCATAAGTGTAAGCTGCATGTCGATAGACGACGAAAGTGTAATGTGCACGTAGAGGAATCAGAGAAGTCAAAAGACGGAAATGATTGAGAGAAATCATGAGAGAATCTGACGACAGACGTGTGATGAGAGATAAATGTATGTCGATGTAGACGACGAAATCAGTAATGAAGACGTAGAGGAATGAGAGGGAAGTAAATGATGAGGAGAATCATAAGTGTGCATGTCGATAGACGACGAAAGTGTAATGTGCACGTAGAAGAATGAGAGACAGGAGGGAAATGATGAGGAGAATCATAAGTGTAAGCTGCATGTCGATAGACGACGAAAGTGTAATGTGCGTAGAGGAATGAGAGACATGAGGTCGATAAGCTGCATGTCGATAGACGACGAAAGTGTAATGTGCACGTAGAGGAATCAGAGACAAAGACGGAAATAATGAGGAGAATCATGAGTGTAGATGTCGGAGAAAAATGTAATGTCGTAGAGATAGACGACGAAAAAGTGTAAGGAGCACGTAGAGGAATCAGATGTCGAAGACGGAAATGATGAGGAGACAAATCGAAATGATGAGGAGAAGTGTAAGCTGCATGTCGATAGACGACGAAAATGTAATGTGCACGTAGAGAATCAGAGACAAGACGGAAATGATGAGGAGAATCATAAGTGTAAGCTGCATGTCGATAGACGACGAAAATATAATGTGCACGTAGAGGAATCAGAGACAAATCGGAAATGATGAGGAGAATCATAAGTAAGCTGCATGTCGATAGACGACGAAAGTGTAATGTGCACGTAGAGGAATCAGAGACAAGACGGAAATGATGAGGAGAATCATAAGTGTAAGCTGCATGTCGATAGACGACGAAAGTGTAAAGTGCACGTAGAGAAATCAGACACAAGACGGAAAATGATGAGGATCATAAATGTAATGCATGTCGATAGACGACGACGTAGAGGAATGAGAGACAAGACGAAAGAATGTGTAAGCTGCATGTCGATAGACGACGTAGAGAGAATCAGAGACAAGACGGAAATGATGAGGAGAATCATAGTAAGCTGCATGTCGATAGACGACGAAAATGTAATGCACGTAGAGGAATCAGAGACAAGACGGAAATGATGAGGAGAATCATAAATGTAAGCTGCATGTCGATAGACGACGAAAATGTAATGTGCACGTAGAGGAATCAGAGACAAGACGGAAATGATGAGGAGAATCATAAGTGTAAGCTGCATGTCGATAGACGACGAAAGTGTAAATGTGCACGTAGAGGAATCAGAGACAAGACGGAAAATGATGAGGAGAATCATAAATGTAAGCTGCATGTCGATAGACGACGAAAGTGTAAAGTGCACGTAGAGAAATCAGACAAGACGGAAATGATGAGGAGAATCATAAGTGTAAGCTGCATGTCGATAGACGACGAAAGTGTAAAGTGACGTAGAGAATCAGAGACAAGACGGAAATGATGAGGAGAATCATAAGTGTGTGCGTCGATAGACGACGAAAGGTAATCGTAGAGGAATCAGAGACAAGACGGAAATGATGAGGAGAGTAAGCTGCATGTCGATAGACGACGAAAGTGCAAACGTAGAGGAATCAGAGACAAGACGGAAATGATGAGGAGAATCATAATGTCGATGTAGACGACGAAAGTGTAAATGCACGTCAGAGACAAGACGGAAATGATGAGGAGAAATGTAAGCTGCATGTCGATAGACGACAAATGTGCACGTAGAAATGAAATGATGAGAGAATCATAAGTGTAAGCTGCATGTCGATAGACGACGAAAGTGTAATGTGCACGTAGAGGAACCAGAGACAAGACGATAAATGATGAGGAGAATCATAAGTGTAAGCTGCATGTCGATAGACGACGAAAGTGTAATGTGCACGTAGAGGAATGAGAGACAAGACGGAAATGATGAGGAGAATCATAAGTGTAAGCTGCATGTCGATAGACGACGAAAGTGTAATGCACGTAGAGGAATCAGAGATAAATCGGAAATGATGAGGAGAATCATAAGTGTAAGCTGCATGTCGATAGACGACGAAAGTGTAATGTGCACGTAGAAGAATCAGAAGAGACAAAAATGATGAGGAGAATCATAAGTGTAAGCTGCATGTCGATAGACGACGAAAGTGTAATGTGCACGTAAAGGAATCAGAGACAAGACGGAAATGATGAGGAGAATCATAATGATAATCTGCATGTCGATAAAACGACGAAAATGTAATGTGCATGTAGAGGAATCAGAGGGAGGACGGAAAATGATGAGGAGAATCATAAGTGTAAGCTGCATGTCGATAGACGACGAAAGTGTAATGTGCACGTAGAAGAATCAGAGACAAGAGGAAATGATGGAGAATCATAAGTGTAAATGTCGATACGACGACGAAAGTGTAATGTGCGTCGAAATGATAGACGACGAAAGTGTAATGTGCACGTAGAGGAATCAGAGACAAACGGAAATGATGAGAGAATCATATGATAAGCTTCATGTCGATAGACGACGAACGTAATGTGTAAACGTAGAGGAATCAGAGACAAACGGAAATGATGAGGAGAATCATAAGTGTAAGCTGCATGTCGATAGACGACGTAGAGGAATCAGAAAGTGTCGATAGACGACGAATGAATCAGAGGGAAGACGTAGAGGAAATCAGAGACAAAGACGGAAATGATGAGGAGAATCATAAATGTAAGCTGCATGTCGATAGACGACGAAAGTGTAAAGTGCACGTAGAGGAAATCAGAGACAAGACGGAAATGATGAGAGAATCATAAATGTAGATAAGCTGCATGTCGATAGACGACGAAAGTGTAATGTGCACGTAGAGGAATCAGAGACAAGACGGAAATGATGAGGAGAATCATAGTGTAAGCCGCATGTCGATAGACGACGAAAGTGTAATGTGCACGTAGAGGAATCAGAGACAAGACGAAATGATGAGGAGATAAATCGATAGGAGAATGCACGTAGAGGAATCAGAGACAAGACGGAAATGATGAGGGAGAATCATAAGCTGCATGTCGATAGACGACGAAAGTGTAATGTGCACGTAGAGGAATCAGAGACAAGACGGAAATGATGAGGAGAATCATAAGTGTAATGCATGTCGATAGACGACGAAAGTGTAAAGTGCACGTAGAGAAATCAGAGACAAGACGGAAATGATGAGGAGAATCATAAATGTGATAAGCTGCATGTCGATAGACGACGAAAGTGTAATGTAGAGAGGAATCAGAGACAAGACGGAAATGATGAGGAGAATCATGTCGATAGACGACTGCATGTCGATAGACGACGAAAGTGTAATGTGCACGTAGAGGAATCAGAGACAAATCGGAAATGATGAGGAGAATCATAAGTGTAAGCTGCATGTCGATAGACGACGAAAGTGTAATGTGCACGTAGAGGAATCAGAGACAAGACGGAAATGATTGAGGAGAATCATAATGATAATCTGTCGATGTCGATCAGACGACGAAAGTGTAAGCTGCATGTCGATGACGACGAAAGTGTAAGTGCGTGTAGAATCAGAGACAGGATGGAAATGATGAGGAGAAAATAAGCTGCATGTCGATAGACGACGAAAGTGAATAATGTGCACGTAGAGGAATCAGAGACAAGACGGAAATGATTGACGAGAATCATAATGATAAATAAGCTGCATGTCGATAGACGACGAAACGTAATGTGCACGTAGAAGGAATCACGTAAGGGAAGAGACGAAAGGAAATGATGAGGAGAATGATAAATGATAAGCTGCATGTCGATAGACGACGAAAGTGTAATGTGCACGTAGAGGAATGAGAGACAAGACGGAAATGATTGAGAGAATCATAATGTAAGCTGTATGTCGATAGACGACGAAATGCACGTAGAGGAATAAGAGACAAGACGAAATGATGAGGAGAATCATAAGTGTAAGCTGCATGTCGATAGACGACGAAAGTGTAATGTGCACGTAGAAGAATCAGAGAGAAGACGGAAATGATGAGGAGAATCATAAGAATGTAAGCTGCATGTCGACAGACGATAAAACGTAAATCAGTGTAAAGTGAAAGAGACGAAAAGACGGATGAGGAGAATCAGGAGAAGTGTATGTAAGTGCATGTCGATAGACGACGAAAGTGTAATGTGCACGTAGAGGAATCAGAGACAAATCGGAAATGATGAGGAGAATCATGCATGTCGACAGACGACGAACGAAATGTAATGCACGTAAAGGAATCAGAGACAAGACGGAAATGATGAGGAGAATCATAATGTAAGCTGCATGTCGATAGACGACGAAAGTGTAATGTGCACGTAGAGGAATCAGAGACAAGACGGAAATGATGAGGAGAATCATAAGTGTAAGCTGCATGTCGATAGACGACGAAAGTGTAAGACGTGCACGAAAGAAATGAATCAGAGACAAGACGGAAATGATTGAGAATCGGAAAATGAGGAGAATAATAAGCTGCATGTCGATAGACGACGAAAGTGTAATGCACGTAGAGGAATCAGAGAAGACGGAAATGATGAGGAGGAGTGTAAGCTGCATGTCGACAGACGACGAAAGTGTAATGACCACGAGAGGAATCAGAGACAAGACGGAAATGATGAGGAGAATCAGAATGAAAGCTGCATGTCGATAGACGACGACAAACGTGTAATGCACGTAGAGGAATCAGAGAACTAGAGACAGGACGGAAATGATGAGGAGAATCATAAGTGTAAGCTGCATGTCGATAGACGACGAAAGTGTAATGTGCACGTAGAGGAATCAGAGGAAGACGGAAATGATTGAGGAGAATCATAAGTGTAAGCTGTATGTCGATAGACGACGAAAGTGTAATGTGCACGTAGAGGAATCAGAGAGGAAGACGGAAATGATGAGGAGAATCATAAGAATGTAAGCTGCATGTCGATAGACGACGAAAGTGTAATGTGCACGTAGAAGAATCAGAGACAAGACGGAAATGATGAGGAGAAATGATAATCTGTATGTCGATAGACGAGTAATGTGCACGTAGAGGAATCAGAGGAAGACGGAAATGATGTAATGAGAGGAGAATCATAAGTGTAAGCTGCATGTCGATAGACGACGAAAGTGTAATGTGCACGTAGAGGAATCAGAGACAAGACGGAAATGATGAGGGAGAATCATAATGATAAGCTGCATGTCGATAGACGACAAACGTAATGCACGTAAGAGGAATCAAGAACGAGAGAAGACGTAAATGATGAGGAGAATCATAAAGGAAATGATGAGGAGAATCTGCATGTCGATAGACGACGAAAGTGTAATGTGCACGTAGAGGAATCACGAGACAAATCGGAAAATGATGAGGAGAATCATAAAATGATAAGCTGCATGTCGATAAACGACGAAAGTGTAATGTGCACGTAGAGGAATCAGAGACAAGACGGAAATGATGAGGAGAATCATAAGTGTAAGCTGCATGTCGATAGACGACGAAAGTGTAATGTGCACGTAGAGGAATCAGAGACAAATCGGAAATGATGAGGAGAATCATAAGTGTAAGCTGCATGTCGATAGACGACGAAAGTGTAATGAGCACGTAGAGGAATCAGAGACAAATCGAAAATGATGAGGAGAATCATAAGTGTAAGCTGCATGTCGATAAACGACGAAAAAGCACGTAGAGGAATCAGAGTGTACGTAGAGGAATAAGACGACGAAAGAGATAAAGGAATCAGAGACAAATCGGAAATGACGAGGAGAATCAAAGTGTAAGCTGCATGTCGATAGACGAGAAGTGTAATGTGACGTAGAGGAATCAGACAAAGAATCATAAGTGAAAGCTGCATGTCGATAGACGACGAAAGTGTAATGTGCACGTAGAGGAATCAGAGACAAGACGGAAAATGATGAGGAGAATCATGATGCATGTCGATAGACGACGAAAGTGTAATGACCACGTAGAGGAATCAGAGACAAGAGCTGACGAGCAGAATCATAAGTGTAACCTGCATGTCGATAGACGACGAAAGTGTAATGTGCACGTAGAGGAATCAGAGACAAGACGGAAATGATGAGGAGAATCATAATGATAATCTGCATGTCGATAGACGACGAAAGTGTAATGTGCACGTAGAGGAATCAGAGGGAAGACGGAAATGATGAGCAGTAAATTATGTAAATGTGAGGAGAATCAGACAGACGGAAATGATAAGCTGCATGTCGATAGACGACGAAAGTGTAATGTGCACGTAGAAGAATCAGAGACAAGACGGAAATGATGAGGAGAATCATAAGTGTAAGCTGCATGTCGATAGACGACGAAAGTGTAATGTGCACGTAGAGGAATCAGAGGGAAGACGGAAATGATGAGGAGAATCATAAGTGTAAGCTGCATGTCGATAGACGACGAAAGTGTAATGTGCACGTAGAGGAATCAGAGACAAGACGGAAAATGATGAGGAGAATCATAATGATAAGCTGCATGTCGATAGACGACGAAAATATAATGTGCACGTAGAGGAATCAGAGACAAAACGGAAATGATGAGGAGAATCATAAGTGTAAGCTGCATGTCGATAGACGACGAAAGTGTAATGTGCACGAAGATGAATCAGGAGAACAAGACGGAAAATGTAATGATGAAGGAGAATCATAAGTGTAAGCTGCATGTCGATAGACGACGAAAGTGTAATGTGCACGTAGAGGAATCAGAGACAAGACGGAAATGATGAGAGGAGAATCATGCAAATGTAAGCTGCATGTCGATAGACGACGAAAGTGTAATGTGCACGTAGAGGAATCAGAGACAAGACGGAAATGATGAGGAGAATCATAAGTGTAAGCTGCATGTCGATAGACGACGAAAGTGTAATGTGCACGTAGAGGAATCAGAGACAAGACGGAAATGATGAGGAGAAATGAAGGAGAAGCAAAGTGTAGCTGCATGTCGATAGACGACGAAAATGTAATGTGCACGTAGAGGAATCAGAGACAAGACGGAAATGATGAGGAGAATCATAAGTGTAATCTGCATGTCGATAGACGACGAAAGTGTAATGCACGTAGAGGAATCAGAGAAGACGTCGATGAGGAGAACGACGAAGCTGCATGTCGATAGACGACGAAAGTGTAATGTGCACGTAGAGGAATCAGAGACAAGACGTAAATAGAGGAGAATCAAGTGTAAGCTGCATGTCGATAGACGACGAAAAGTGTAACAAGAGACAAGACGGAAATGATGAGGAGAATCATAAGTGTAAGCTGCATGTCGATAGACGACGAAAGTGTAATGTGCACGTAGAGGAATCAGAGACAAGACGGAAATGATGAGGAGAATCATAAGTGTAAGCTGCATGTCGATAGACGACGAAAGTGTAAAGTGCACGTAGAGAAATCAGAGACAAGACGGAAATGATGAGGAGAATCATAAATGTAAGCTGCATGTCGATAGACGACGAAAGTGTAATGTGCACGTAGAGGAATGAGAGACAAGACGTAAATGATGAGGAGAATCATAAGTGTAAGCTGCATGTCGATAGACGACGAAAGTGTAATGTGCACGTAGAGGAATCAGAGACAAACGATAAATGATGAGGAGAATCAATGTAAATGTCGATAGACGACTGCATGTCGATAGACGACGAAAAGCATGTCGATACGCAATGTAATGTGCGTAGAGGAATGCACGTCGATAGACGGCGATGTAATGAGCATGTCGATAGAGGAAAGAGACAAGACGGAAATGATGAGGAGAATCATAAGTGTAAGCTGCATGTCGATAGACGACGAAAGTGTAAACGTAGAGGAATCAGAGACAAGACGGAAATGATGAGGAGAAATCGATAGACGACGAAACAGGAAGAAAATGATGAGGAGAATCATAAGTGTAAGCTGCATGTCGATAGACGACGAAAGTGTAAAGTGCACGTAGAGAAATCAGAGACAAGACGGAAATGATGAGGGAGAATCATAACGAAGCTGCATGCACGTCGATAGACGACGAAAGAATGTAATGTCGATAGACGACGAAAGAGTAGAGAAATCAGAGACAAGACGGAAATGATGAGGAGAATCATAAGTGTAAGCTGCATGTCGACAGACGACGAAAGTGTAATGTGCACGTAGAGGAATGAGAGAAAAATCGTAAATGATGAGGAGAATCATAAGTGTAAGCTGCATGTCGATAGACGACGAAAGTGTAATGCACGTAGAGGAATCAGAGACAAGACGATAAAATGATGAGGAGAATCATAAGTGTAAGCTGCATGTCGATAGACGACGAAAGTGTAAAGTGCACGTAGAAGAATCAATGACACAAGACATGAGGAAAATGATGAGGAGAATCATAAGTGTAAGCTGCATGTCTAAAATAGACGACGAAATGATGGGGAGTAAAGCTGCATGTCGATAGACGACGAAAGTGTAAAGAGTAGAAGACGGAAATGATGAGAGAATCATAATGATAAGCTGCATGTCGATAAACGACGAAAGTGTAATGTGCACGTAGAGGAATCAGAGGAAGACGGAAATGATGAGGAGAATCATAAGTGTAAGCTGCATGTCGATAGACGACGAAAGTGTAAATAGAGGAATCAGAGATAAATCGATAAATGATGAGGAGAATCATAAGACAGGAGAAAATGATGAGGAGAATCATAAGTGTAAGCTGCATGTCGATAGACGACGAAAGTGTAATGTGCACGTAAAGGGAATAAAGAGACAAACGGAAATGATTGAGAGAATCATAATGATAATCTCTGTATGTCGATAGACGACGAACGTGTAATGTGCAGAGGGAAGACGTAGAGGAATCAGAGCTGCATGTCGAAACGACGAAATGATGAGGAGAATCACAGACAGGATGGAAATGATGAGGAGAATAAGCTGCATGTCGATAGACGACGAAAGTGTAATGTGCACGTAGAGGAATCAGAGACAAAGACGAGAAATGATTCGAGAGACGACGAAACGTGTAATGATAATCTGTATGTCGATGATGACGAGAAATAAATGTGTAATCGATGAAGTGTAACGTAGAGGAATCAGAGGGAAGACGGAAATGATGAGGAGAATCATAAGTGTAAGCTGCATGTCGATAGACGACGAAAGTAGAGGAATAATGTGCACGTAAAGGAATAAGAGCATGTCGAAGACGGAAATGATTGACAAGACGGAAAGAGAATCATAATGATAATCTGTATGCCGATAGACGACGAACGTGTAATGTGCACGTAGAGGAATCAGAGGGAAGACGGAAATGATGAGGAGAATCATAAGTGTAAGCTGCATGTCGATAGACGACGAAAGTGTAATGTGCACGTAGAAGATTCAGAGACAGGAAGGAAATGATGAGGAGAATCATAAGTGTAAGCTGCATGTCGATAGACGACGAAAGTGTAATGTGCACGTAAAGGAATAAGAGACAAGACGGAAATGATGAGGAGAATCATAAGTGTAAGCTGCATGTCGATAGACGACGAAAGTGTAATGTGCACGTAGAGGAATCAGAGAGAAGACGGAAATGATGAGGAGAACCATAATGATAATCTGTATGTCAACAGACGACGAAAGTGTAAAGTGCACTTAAAGGAATCAGAGACAAATCGGAAATGATGAGGAGAATCATAAGTGTAAGCTGCATGTCGATAGACGACGAAAGTGTAATGTGCACGTAGAGGAATCAGAGACAAATCGGAAATGATGAGGAGAATCATAAGTGTAAGCTGCATGTCGACAGACGACGAAAGTGTAATGAGCACGTAGAGGAATCAGAGACAAGACGGAAATGATGAGTAGAATCATAAGTGTAAGCTGCATGTCGATAGACGATGAAAGTGTAATGACCACGTAGAGGAATCAGAGACAAGACGGAATTGACGAGCAGAATCATAAGTGAAAGCTGCATGTCGATAGACGACGAAAGTGTAATGTGCACGTACAGGAATCAGAGACAAGACGGAAATGATTGAGAGAATCATAATGATAATCTGTATGTCGATAGACGACGAACGTGTAATGTGCACGTAGAGGAATCAGAGGGAAGCCGGAAATGATGAGCAGAATCATAAGTGTAAGCTGCATGTCCATAGACGACGACGAATGTAAAGGCAATGTGCACGTAGAAGAATCAGAGACAGGAGGAAAGACGGATGAGGAGAATCATAAGTGTAAGCTGCATGTCGATAGACGACGAAAGTGCAATGTGCACGTAGAGGAATCAGAGACAAGACGGAAATGATGAGGAGAACATAAGTGTAAGCTGCATGTCGATAGACGACGAAAGTGTAAAGTGCACGTAGAGAAATCAGACACAAGACGGAAATGATGAGGAGAATCATAAATGTAAGCTGCATGTCGATAGACGACGAAAGTGTAATGTGCACGTAGAAGAATCAGAGACAAGACGGAAATGATTGAGAGAATCATAATGATAATCTGTATGTCGATAGACGACGAACGTGTAATGCAGGTAGAGGAATCAGAGGAAGACGGAAATGATGAGGAGAATCATAAAGTGTAAGCTGCATGTCCATAGACGACGAAAGTGTAATGTGCACGTAGAAGAATCAGAGACAGGAGGGAAATGATGAGGAGAATCATAAGTGTAAGCTGCATGTCGATAGACGACGAAAGTGTAATGTGCACGTAGAGGAATCAGAGACAAGACGGAAATGATTGAGAGAATCATAATGATAATCTGTATGTCGATAGACGACGAACGTGTAATGTGCAGGTAGAGGAATCAGAGGGAAGACGGAAATGATGAGGAGAATCATAAGTGTAAGCTGCATGTCGATAGACGACGAATGTGTAATGTGCACGTAGAGGAATCAGAGACAAATCGGAAATGATGAAAAGAGTCATAAGTGTAAGCTGCATGTCGATAAACGACGAAAGTGTAAAGTGCAGGTAAAGGAATCAGAGACAAATCGGAAATGATGAGGAGAATCATAAGTGTAAGCTGCATGTCGATAGACGACGAAAGTGTAATGTGCACGTAGAGGAATCAGAGACAAATCGGAAATGATGAGGAGAATCATAAGTGTAAGCTGCATGTCGATAGACGACGAAAGTGTAATGAGCACGTAGAGGAATCAGAGACAAGACGAAAATGATGAGGAGAATCATAAGTGTAAGCTGCATGTCGATAAACGACGAAAGTGTAATGTGCACGTAGAGGAATCAGAGACAAGACGGAAGTGACGAGCAGAATCATAAGTGAAAGCTGCATGTCGATAGACGACGAAAGTGTAATGTGCACGTAGAGGAATCAGAGACAAGACGGAAATGATGAGGAGAATCATAAGTGTTAGCTGCATGTCGATAGACGACGAAAGTGTAATGAGCACGTAGAGGAATCAGAGACAGGACGGAAGTGACGAGCAGAATCATAAGTGTAACCTGCATGTCGATAGACGACGAAAGTGTAATGAGCACGTAGAAGAATCAGAGACAGGAGGGAAATGATGAGGAGAATCATAAGTGTAAGCTGCATGTCGATAGACGACGAAAGTGTAATGTGCACGTAGAGGAATCAGAGACAAATCGGAAATGATGAGGAGAATCATAAGTGTAAGCTGCATGTCGATAGACGACGAAAGTGTAATGAGCACGTAGAGGAATCAGAGACTAGACGGAAGTGACGAGCAGAATCATAAGTGTAAGCTGCATGTCGATAGACGACGAAAGTGTAATGTGCACGTAGAGGAATCAGAGACAAGACGGAAATGATGAGGAGAATCAAAATGTTAAGCTGATGGTCCATAGATGACGAATGTGTAATGTGCACGTAAAGGGAGGAGAGACAAAATGAAAAACATGACTGGAATCATAATATGAAATTAAATGTCGATATACGACGTAAGTTAATTGTGCACGTAAACGAATGTGAGACATATCGAAAAAGATAATTGTACTCATGTGAATCTACGTCACTATATATATATATATATATATATATATATATATATATATATATATATATATATATAGTTTATGCAAATTTAGGTAATCCGTATGGGTAGACCTGAGGAGGATGATATCCAGAGAGCTCAATGTAAAATTCAGAGCAGATATGTTTGAATAAATGACAGACCACGTTAAGATTCCATGTAATAAGCTATTTCACCATAACCCCTTTAACAGGGTTCTGGATCATCAGACTTTACTTCCAAAAGCTGAAATGAAAAATGAAAAGAAATTCACACTTTTTTTACGGACCTCATCAAGTATACGCAAAGTGAACGAAGTGAGGAAGTGAGGTGGGAAAGAGGATATGAGTGTGTCATATGTATCATTTTAGTTTCCTATTTTAACCCCAGTGTGTCGGCTGGATGTTGCTTAAATTTAACGTGTCTCGTCTCTAGATATAGATAGCTAAGGGGTGAATGATAAGAACTACATTAAAGGAAGACATTACAACAACCCCAATAAATTACACGACAGGTTTCATTCAAATTCTTAGACGCGTCCGTAAAAAACGTGTGAATTTCTTTCCATTTTTCATTTCAGCTTTTGGAATTAAAGTCTGATGATCCAGAACCCTGTTAAAGGGTTATGGTGAAATAGCTTATTACATGGAACCTTAACGTGGTCTGTCTTTTATTCAAATATATATATATATATATATATATATATATATATATATATATATATATATATATATATATATATGCCAAATTATTTTCGAGATAACTTTTTTTTAAGATTTCAAAAACTGTCCAATCAATTCACACAAAATTTTCATACAATGTTGGCAATACTGACTTGCGCAATCACTGAAATTTTCGTACTGATTTGCGCAAGGTAAACAAACTGGCGCCATATTTGTTATTAGCTCTGTGATTCGAGTGTACCAAATTATTACAAAAGTGTAAGAATTTAGTGAAAAGATGGGTCGTAAAAGCAGTTTAAGTGATGCTGTAAAGAAAACTATCACCTCAGAACTCTCAAAAGGTAGATCTACCCTAGAAATTTCTAAAATGATAGGGAGGTGTCATCAAACAGTGAAAAAAGTTCACCGCCGACCCTACATAAGTACGCAAAAGAGCAGATAAAGGTAAGCCGAGGGTTATTTCACGTCGTCTCATGTCACGACTTAAACAAGAGGCCACGAAGGACCCTGGACTTACCAGTCAAGAGCTTTTCAGTCGCATGGGGATCCTACTGTGTCTAAAAGTACTCGGTGTCGGTATCTTAGGGAAATAGCAACAACAGTCAAACCTGTATCGAAGCCTCCGTTGACGAGAAATCACATTCAAAATTGATTGAAATGGCCCGAGGACAATATGAAAATTGACTTCCCTAAAGTTTTGTTCACAGACTAAACTCGAGCAACTCTTGATGGGCCAGATACATGGTGCAAAAGCTGGGTAATGAACGGACAGAATCGCCATCAGCGTTTGAGACACCAACAAGACGGTGGGGGCATAAAGATCTGGGGTGGTAGTATTGGAAAAACATTAGTGGGCCCATGGAGAGGTGTCAATATAACTGCTGATGCATACATAGCGTTTATGAAGGAGCATCTTGAACCGTGGATGAAAAGGCAAAGAGTTGCCTTCAGAAGGGCCATTGTTTTTATGCAAAATAATGCTCCCTCACATGCTGCTCACAAGAATATATACTGAATATTTGAAACAGTTAGGCTTCAATGGACCTCGAAAAATGAAGTGGCCAGCAAATTCTCCGGATTTGAACCCAGTCGAAAACCTTTGGAGCATCATGAAGCGAAGACTGTACGCCAACAGACGACAACTCAGGAGCAACGCTGTGTTGTGGAAAGCAATTCTTGATATATCTCACAGCATTACAGCAGATGACATCCTATAATTAACAAATTCTATGGATCGTCGACTTCTTCAAGTAATTTCAAAACATGGAAGGCACATTCCCTATTAATTTGTTTAAAACTGTGCCTTTGTTTGTATCTGCTATTATTTGTTTGTTTATCTTATTTATTAGCTTCTTTTGATCATAAACATCCACGTGCAACATTAATAAATGTTTTGTTTGCTCAATTGTAGGTATTTTAATTGAAACCTTTCTAATAATTTGGCAGGGTCAAATCACCGTGTGATAACAAATATGGCGCCAGTTTGTTTACATTGCGCAGATCAGTACGAAAATTTCAGTGATTGCCAACATTGTGTGAAAATTTTATGTGAATTGATTAGATAGTTTTTGAAATATTAGATAATAATTTGGCACGCAGTGTATATAGTACGTTTCCTTGTATCGTAAAGGTCCCTATTCGATTGTCGGTTCTGGATGCG